CGGCGGGCGCTGCCATTGGCCCGGCTGTCATGTGGTCGCGCGGAGGCATCCGCAATTACACGGGAATGTTTTCCTAGAGATGTCAGCCTACAAAGGACACAATCTCTCTTCCTCAAATTCCGCCCCAAAATGTCCTTTCCCAACAGCTCTCCTGCCGCTAATACTTTTTTAGTAGATTCTCTCATCAGTGCGTGCAGGAGTGACAGTTTCTACTCCAACAGCGCCAGCATGTATATGCCACCTAGCACAGACATTGGGACGTATGGGATGCAAACCTGTGGACTCCTTCCGTCTCTGGCTAAAAGAGAAGTTAATCACCAAAATATGGGTATGAATGTACATCCGTATATACCTCAAGTAGACACTTGGACAGACCCGAACAGATCTTGTCGAATAGAGCAACCTGTTACACAGCAGGTCCCCACTTGTTCCTTCACTACAAATATTAAAGAAGAAAGCAATTGCTGCATGTATTCCGATAAGAGATCCAAACTCATTTCTGCAGACGTCCCTTCCTACCAGAGGCTGGTGTCTGAATCATGCCCCATTGAGAACCCCGAGGTTCCCGTCCCAGGATATTTTAGACTGAGCCAGACCTACGCCACTGGGAAAACCCAAGAGTACAATAATAGCCCTGAAACGAGTTCAACTGTAATGTTACAGTTAAACCCTCGCGGCAGCTCCAAACCGCAGATATCTGCTCAACTTCAGCTGGAAAAGAAAATGAATGAAAACCCGAACAACCAAGACAGCACCGCTAAAGTCTCTCAAGTGGAAAGTCCCGAGCCCAAGTCCACGTTGCAAGACGAGCGGAGCTGCCTGCCCGAAGGCTCCGTGTCCAGCCCAGAAGTCCAGGAGAAGGAGAGTAAAGGTCTGTATTACCGAGTTTAAGCCGTGCCGTGGTGTAACTCCAACACGCCAGCATCATAAAGCACGCTCGAATATACTAACGAGCATCACAGCCATCACATTTAATGCTAAGGAGTATCGGGCTGCAGGTGCTGTGTCTCTGAAGATTTTGGCAGGCTAAAATGCTACACAAAAGGGTCCAAAGATTTTCTATAGGGGTCTGCCTCTCTCGTGCACGCAGACCGCCTCTCTGGTGCGGGGAATATAGCCGTGTGCTCCTTAATGCGCTGCAGCAGCCAAAAGCAGCCCCATACCTCTAAAAAAGCAGGTCTGGAGGTTGTAAAATACGACCAGCTCAACTTTTCTCTCGTAATATTTCGCTGATTTTTTAAAATTGTTATTACTATTATATTTTTTCACTGAGCCTTACTGCGGTTTGATTGCATTTAAAGTTAATTACGATCCTATTAAAATAGGTGAGGAATAGGTGCTACCAGGCTGGGTAAAGTTGGAAACAAATGCACAATGAAAGCAGCAGCCCGATGTCTGCCTGGTCCAAAGGTGAAATATTTCAATGTGGTGCTTTAGATAACCTCCAAAAGTGCAACATTATTTTGAAATGCGTTTGAAAGCTAAAGGTGGCGGTAATCTGATTTTATTTTCCCTTTAAAAGTGCACTAAAGCCTTCCTTTCGAACGACGTGTGTCGAAGAATCCCAAAACGGGAAATTTTCTCCTATCAAAACGTACTTTGCAACCTCTAGGTCGATTTTTACTCTACGTGTGCATGGAGATTCTCTTTATCTGAATTATATTTAACACTCCAGGTCTAGGTTGATGTGGGGCAGATTTATTTCTGGTGGGGGAAAAAAAAATCTAAAAAGAAAATGAAAAAAAAAAAATTCCGAGGCAGAGGGTGTTAATTTCTTGTGTATCTTTTTGGCTGGGAAAACGTCTACGTCTGCTCCTAGGTGTGCTTGTGTAATTCAGCTGATGGCGGGGGGGACGCTGCTTCAAAATACAGTGCGAGGGTATTTTGTAATTGGGATATTTTCGTAGCAAGTGTCGTTGGGAGCTCGATGCGGCCATGGCGAGGCTAGACCCGTTAAAATGTGGCCATGGGGCTGGTGGCAGGTTAAACATTGCTGAAATGCTAAACGCCAGCTGAAAACTTGAGAGCTCCTTTCTGGAAGGGGCAGGAGAGCGGGGCGGCCGCAAGGCAGGGTGTCGTGTGGCGGGGACGGGCGAGCCCAGCCTGGCAGCAGGTCCCCTCTCTGTGCCCACACCTCGCCCCAGCTCTGTTTAATGCCCACATCCACCATATCTGCCAGACACTGCAGAGGAGGGGTCATGGCCAAGGGTACACTCTTAACAGCCTGAGGTATTTTTGATTTTTTTTTTTCTTCTTCTTCTTCTTTGATTTTGATAGAGGAAATCAAGTCTGATACTCCAACAAGCAATTGGCTAACTGCAAAGAGTGGCAGAAAGAAGAGGTGTCCTTATACTAAACACCAAACACTGGAATTAGAGAAAGAGTTCTTATTCAATATGTATCTCACTCGAGAGCGCCGTCTAGAGATCAGTAAGAGCGTAAACCTCACTGACAGGCAGGTCAAGATTTGGTTTCAAAACCGCAGAATGAAGCTCAAGAAGATGAGCAGGGAGAACCGAATCCGGGAACTGACCGCTAATCTGACCTTCTCTTAAACCCTAACCCCGGGGGGGGCACCAGTGAGGAATGGGCACAGCACCGCCACTTGCTAAAGGCAGGAGAGACTCTGGCAAAACCCGGCATTTTCCAGTTTTGTTTTGGTTTTGGTTTTGGTTTTTTTGGTTTTGTTTTTGTTTTTCTCTGATAGAATGTGACTCTTCGTCCTTCTTTTAGCGCTGCAAGTGAATATGTATTACTATGATGAGTATATATAAAACCTAGCACGTGTAATTTATTTTTGTTCTCATCGTAATGCAGGGTAACTATTATTGAGTATTATCATTTGGTCTTAACTTATTGGAACTGTCGAACATCCAAGCAATGTGACTTTTTCATGTTTTTACTAACAAAATGGTATTTATGTGGGGCTGTTACACGGGCCATAACGTTTTGAGTACATTCAATACTTTAAGAAAAAGAGGGGGGGGAAACTTTGGGGGCGGGGGGAAAGAGAAGCACATTATAATGTAACTATCCTCGCAAATGAACTTAGAGATTGTCCTTCGTAAAATGGAATATTTCCTTCTTCTCCATTGTAGACATTTCCTTGTGGTGCATATGTGGAATAGTAGTCGTTCAGCAGCAATATGTCCTTCTTGTGCATGTTCTGTTCGCATGTATAATGCAATAAACTCTGTAAACTACTGCGGTTCCTTTGGTTTTCTACAAATGTTTAAATTACGGATGCAGGTTGGTCTCCTGAACTTTCTCTATCAGCAGCTCTTTGGACTGATGTGTCTTCTTTGCCATTTTCTGGTCTTTGTGTGTGTCTGCCTGGTTTTCTTTCTTTCCCCCCCTTTTCTTTTTTTTTTTCTTCCCCTTCCTTTTTTTAGGGGTGGGGTGGAGACTGGTGCGGGAAATGATGTAAACCTAATTCATTTATAATTGTTCCTGTAAACAAATGATTAATTGATAAAATGTTGTGTGATGTTCGCAGTCTGACAAACTGAATGCAAAAAAAAAAAAAAAGAGAGAGGAAAAAAAAAAAAAAAGAAAAACGTAGTAAAATATTATGACCTAAACTGGACATCCTCATCCAATCAACTCATAAATGGTAAGTGATAAAAAAATCTTTGTACTACAAGCTGTCAGCAATATGTGTGTCATTTTATTTGACGTTCGTATGTTGATTTAAAAAATATCAGTCTCACTGCGTGCTTACAATTTGGAGACTTTGATTTTGTGTCTTTACTCACTTAAAAAAAAAAAAAATCATACCAAATGCAAAGCTGGGCATAAGTAAATGTTAAGGAGTTCCGTTCTTGGTCAGCTCAAGAGCTTTCAGAAGATGGTGGATGGGAAAATATTCCCTCAAACATCTGGCAGGGTTGGCTTTTTTTGAGCAGAAACGCTCCCAAGCGTGCTTACAAAAGTACACCAGCCTCTTCAGACCTACTTTTGTCACCCTGCACCGTTCCTGTTTGCTCAGAGATCGTTTTATTTCGCGCAATTCCATTTTAGTAGCACACATTCAGATAATGAAGTTCACGACTCTTAACCCTTTCTGTACATAGCTGAAAAAAATGTTGTTAGCAGAGCTCTGCGCTGGAAGCTGAGGAAGGGCGTGTGTGGGAGAGAGCGGGTGAGTGCCTGTGTGAGAAGAAATACTAAGCAGAACTGCAAATGGCTTGCAAATGAACATGACTCCAAATTGAAGTGCAAATACTTGGGCATACTTTCACCTTCAAACAGTACCGGAAAAAATAGCATGGCTACTGCTTGCGCTGGGAAACCCGCTCGCTCGCAATCAACGCCCATTCCTCCCCCAAGCAGTTTCTAAATCAAGAAATTAAACGCCAGATAGTGCCAATATCGTCTGGTTTGGTGACACTGACACTGCTCATATTGCAGTTGGTGGCGTTGTATTTTGCTTTCTTGTCGCTGGTATTGAATTGAAGCCAATACTTTCTCATGTGCACGTTTACTCGTAGGGCAGAGGTATATTTTCTTCAAACCAAAGCATCACCATTTTGAAGCTGCGGGAGCCGCAAGCACGAAGGTATTTTGTGCTTGCTCTCATTTCGAAAACAAACAACGAAACGGTGCTCAAAAAAAAATTCCCTCTTTAAATATTGCATACATTTAAGCCGTCTTTTCTTTTCCTTTAAAGATACTCGCTACATCACCAAAGAAGTTTCAGCAGTGGGAAGTAATTAGCTGGCTCCATACCAAGTGTTTAAAGTGTATATATATATAAAAAGGAGGCTCCCTCTGATCTGCCTGCTTTATCAATTTATATCTGTGTGAAGCGATAGGCGATTCCTCGCCATACCTCAAACACTGCTCCTAGAGAAAAATATGACAGAAATATGAAAGCGCGAAGGAAAATCCTAAACGGAGATGACCAAAAAAAAAAAAGGGGGGGGGGGGGAAGAGAAGAAAAAAGGAAGAAAACAACCTAAGAGAGTAATAAATCATTAAATAAACAGGAATTTCAGTCCCTTCCTCACACCGGCCCGCGAGTAGGAAGTGTTTTCTCAGCGCTGTTGTTTGTGCCCTCGGCGGGCTGTGCTGCGGGCTCTCCACTAACCCTCTGCGTTTCCTCCAGATCCCGGCACAGCCACCGTCCCTCGCTCGGGAGAGCAGGCGTGGGCAGAAGACCATGGGTAATCTAGTTTTCCATACTAACCGGGCACCGTTTCCTTCGGGGAAGGATAACCGGGCCGGGAGGAAGGGGAGAGGAGGGAAGGGAAGGAAAAGAAAAGCAAAGCGAAGAGGGCAAAAAAAAAAATCTCACGTAGGCATTGAACGTGGCCAGCGCGGCCCGGCCCGGCTCCCCCTGACCGAGGGGCGGAGGAGGCAGCTCTGCCGGCGAGCGGGGGGCAACGGCTGCTTGCCTGCTTGCCTGCTCTCCCGCCTGCCTACCCGCCTGCCTGCGGGGCCGGGCGGCCTCCTCCGGGCAGCGCCTGCCCGCGTCCCCTCCCGGGCCGGGCTGGGCACCCTAAGGGGGGGCTGTGCTGGAGCTGTGTAGCCCCAAAGTTTCGCAGATACAGGAGCATGTGTTCAGCCACACGTCAGTTGTGCTCGGAGACACAGGCTTTGCTGTTTCCATCCGTCCATTTTATTAGGGACACATTAATCTATAATCAAATACACCTCATAAAATTTTTATTGAAAGGCATAAAATCATTACAGAGGTCTTCCACCTGTTTTAAAACAACACAATGGGCATCTCTTTTAGAAAGTGTATCCTTTCCATGGAAACTTTCAGT